CGGGGCCGCAGCGCTCCGAGCGCACACCGGGCAGCCCCCGGCTCCCAAAGCTCCTTCGCAGCCCGGCTGGGGACAAACGGGCTGTGGCGTTTTGTGATCCCGGTCACGGAATCACAGCTGGGGTTGGAATCAGCTCTGGAGACCATCCAGGATCGTTACGTTTGGGAAAGAGCTCCAAGGTCAAGGCCAGGCCTTAAGGGGCTCTGGGCGCTGCTTTTTCTCCCCCATCGATTTTAGAACTCCACAACAGCTCTGAAAACCAGCAGCCTGCAACAAATCCCCCAGTACTCCTCCTGGAATTCTCTAGCAATGGGAAGAAGGAATTTGCTACAGCTACCTTCACAATTCCTTCTCCAAAGTGCCAGGAGGAATTCTTACTCCTTTATTTCACTCGTTTATTCACCCAGCCAACGCATGAGCTCTTTCACCACTTAATTTTCCCCACACACATTCATAATGCAATTTGTTACATGTGCCCATAAGGCACCTTTTCACATTTATTCCATTAATAAACACCATGCGATAGTTTTTACTAGTTTATTATGTTGGCAGCACTTCCTGGCAAGGGCAGAGCAGCCGGCTTAGAGCTGGACAAGTGCAGACAGCCCTTTGAAATATGGAAATCCCAGAATCATGGAATCACTTTGGTTAGAAAAGACCTCCTTGATCAGGGTGGGCAACTGGTGACGATCCCCACCTTGTCACCCAGCCCAGAGCACTGTCCAGTGCCACGTCCAGTTTTTCCTTGGACACCTCCAGGGATGAGGACTCCAAATCTCCCCAAGCAGTCCATTCCAGGTTTGGGATCATTGCTTGCATATCCTCAGTTCTTTGTTAGTTTAGTCTGACACATTTTGGGATCTTGCTTTGCAAAGGGCAGAAGAGAAGCCCTGCTATCCCACGGATGCTGTCCTTCTCCAGAAGCTCTGCTATCCCATGGATCCTGTCCTTCTCCAGAAGTCCTGCTCTCCCAGGGATGCTGTCCTTCTCCAGAAGCCCTGCTCTCCCAGGGATGCTGTCCTTCTCCAGAAGTCCTGCTGTTCTAGGGATGCTGTCCTTCTCCAGAAGCCCTGCTCTCCCAGGGATGCTGTCCTTCTCCAGAAGTCCTGCTCTCCCAGGGATGCTGTCCTTCTCCAGAAGCCCTGCTCTCCCAGGGATGCTGTCCTTCTCCAGCAGCGCGTCACCCGTTTCCAGCGGCTCAGGCAGCGCTCACCGAAGCGGAGCAGGCACCCGGAGCCCGCTGCCAGG